ACAGACACAGAATTGTTACTCGCACAGACACAGAAGAATTGTTACTGAGGGCCACAGAAACTTTACTTAGGGACAGAATTTTTACAGAAACGCTACTTAGGGCCACGGAATTGTTACTCAGGGACAGACAGAATTGTTTACTCGAGTGCCAGAGAATTGTTACTCAGGGCCACAGAAACTTTACTTAGGGCCACAGAATTTTTACTCAGGGACAGACAGAATTGTTACTGAGTGCCAGAGAATTGTTACTCAGGGACAGACAGAATTGTTACTGAGTGCCAGAGAATTGTTACTCAGGGACAGACAGAATTGACAGAAATTGTTACTCAGGGACAGACAGAATTGTTACTACAGAAATTGTTACTTAGGGCCACAGAAACTTTTTACTTAGGGCCACAGAATTTTTACTCAGGGACAGACAGAATTGTTACTGAGTGCCAGAGAATTGTTACTCAGGGACAGACAGAATTGTTACTGAGTGCCAGAGAATTGTTACTTAGGGCCACAGAAACTTTTACTTAGGGCCAGAGAATTTTACTACTCAGACAGGGACAGAAGAATTTGTTACTGAGTGCCAGAGAATTGTTACTCAGGGACAGACAGAATTGTTACTGAGTGCCAGAGAATTGTTACTCAGGGCCACAGAAACTTTACTTAGGGCCACAGAGAATTTTTACTCAGGGACAGAATTGTTACTGAGGGCCAGAGAATTGTTACTGAGTGCCAGAGAATTGTTACTCAGGGACAGAATTGTTACTCAGGGACAGACAGAATTGTTACTGAGTGCCAGAGAATTGTTACTTAGGGCCACAGAAACTTTACTTAGGGCCACAGAATTGTTACTCGCACAGACAGAGAATTGTTACTCTCGTTACACAGGCACAGAAATTGTTACTGAGGGCCACAGAAACTTTACTTAGGGACAAAGAAACGCTAGTTAGGGCCACGAGAATTCATACTCAGGGACAGACAGAATGTTACGGAGTGCCAGAGAATTGTTACTCAGGGCCACAGAAACTTTACTTAGGGCCACAGAATTTTTACTCAGGGACAGACAGAATTGTTACTGAGTGCCAGAGAATTGTTACTCAGGGACAGACAGAATTGTTACGGAGTGCACAGAAATTGTTACTCAGGGACAGACAGAATTGTTACTGAGTGCCAGAGAATTGTTACTTAGGGCACAGAAACTTTTACTTAGGGCCACAGAATTTTTACTCAGGGACAGACAGAATTGTTACTGAGTGCCAGAGAATTGTTACTCAGGGACAGACAGAATTGTTACTGAGTGCCAGAGAATTGTTACTCAGGGACAGACAGAATTGTTACTGAGTGCCAGAGAATTGTTACTCAGGGCCACAGAAACTTTACTTAGGGCCACAGAATTTTTACTCAGGGACAGACAGAATTGTTACTGAGTGCCAGAGAATTGTTACTCAGGGACAGACAGAATTGTTACGGAGTGCCAGAGAATTGTTACTCAGGGCTCAGGGCCACAGAAACTTTACTTAGGGCCACAGAATTTTTACTCAGGGACAGACAGAATTGTTACTGAGTGCCAGAGAATTGTTACTCAGGGACAGACAGAATTGTTACCGAGTGCCAGAGAATTGTTACTCAGGACAGACAGGACCAGAATTGTTACTCAGAATTGTTACTGAGTGCCAGAGAATTGTTACTTAGGGCCACAGAAACTTTACTGAGGGCCACAGAATTTTTACTCAGGGACAGACAGAATTGTTACTGAGTGCCAGAGAATTGTTACTCAGGGACAGACAGAATTGTTACGGAGTGCCAGAGAATTGTTACTCAGGGCCACAGAAACTTTACTTAGGGCCAGAGAATTTTTACTCAGGGACAGACAGAATTGTTACTGAGTGCCAGAGAATTGTTACTCAGGGACAGACAGAATTGTTACTGAGTGCCAGAGAATTGTTACTCAGGGCCAGAAGAAACTTTACTTAGGGCCACAGAATTTTTACTCAGGGACAGACAGAATTGTTACTGAGTGCCAGGGAATTGAATTGTTACTCAGGGACAGACAGAATTGTTACTGAGTGCCAGAGAATTGTTACTTAGGGCCACAGAAACTTTACTTAGGGCCACAGACAGACACAGAATTGTTACTCGCACAGACACAGAATTGTTACTGAGGGCCACAGAACTGTTACTTGGGGCCACAGAAACGTTAATCAGGGACACAGAATTGTTACTGAGGGCCACAGAACTGTTACTTAGGGCCACAGAATTGTTACTCGCACAGACACAGAATTGTTACTCAGGGACACAGAATTGTTACTCAGGGACACATAATCGTTTAATTAAAGAGTATGTCAGACAACATGCAGAGGAGTGGCAGAGGAGGCAATGTTTTAGGAGCGAGCAGACGTGGCAGCAGAGGAAGGGGTCGAGGCAGCACTATTCGCAGCCAGAGGCCAGTGCTCCCGGTGTCATCCAGCGGTCGTGTCTCCACCGACAACCCTGCCGTCGTCGATTGGTTGGCTCGGTCGTCTTCCTCTTCCAGGTCACCTCTGACACCTACAGCCAACGGTCGGTGGGTACGTCAGACACAACCGTTAGTTGGCATGGCCCGGGACCTAGCCCACTGAAATCACGTGTCCTCTACCTGCCCCTGTCCTTTGGTGTTCCCTCACCAAGCGAAGTATCGCATGCTGTGGGCTCAGCCCCACTGTACAGTGAGGAAGAGCTAACAGAGGGCGGTCAGGAACGGGGGGAGACATCCGCCTTTTCAGCAGCTAGGCGAAGAAGTAGTGGCGAGGAGAGTGGCCCGGTAGCCGGTCTAGAGACAGGTCTGTCTCCTGACCCAGACGCAGCCGAGGGGGCTAGTAGTGAGGCGGAGACCCTACTTGATGATGAGGAGGTTGATCGCACTTGGCAGCCTCGTCGTCATCAGGCAATTTCTTCCGCATCATCAGGAGAAGAGGGTGGCAGCTTGGCAGTGAGCGAAACAGTCGGTGGGTTGCCCAGGAGACAGCAGCAGGGGGTCGCAGCAGTGTCAGTGGAAGCAGTGTCAGTGGAGCCAAACGGCCACGGAGTAGAGCACCAGCTCCACTGCAGCCTACCACCACGGCCAGTAGTGGTGCCGGTGTGCACGGAGGAAGCAGCAGTCAGCCAGTGAGGAGTATCGGGGGCAAAGTTTCCTACTCGGCGGTGTGGCAATTTTTCGTCAAGCCGCCCGAGGAAGTAAACGTAGCCGTATGTCGACTATGTGGCCAGAAAGTCAAGCGTGGCCAGGGGGCCCATGTTGGGACTATTTGGGCCATGTTGGGACAATGGGAGACCTCCCATTGCTGCTGTCTCCATCGCCACACTCTGCCATGTGCCACTTTCAGGTCTCCTCACACACTGCTGGTGTGTTCAATTTTTTGACATAGGGTGCTGGCAGATTACGGGCCTCCCATAGCTGCTGCCAGGCCCCTAATCTGCCATAGGCCCCTATATACCGCCTCCTCATGCTGCTGCCAGGTCCAGAGTCTGTCATGGGTCCCTGTACGCTCCCATTGCTGCTGTCTCCATCGCCACACTCTGCCATGTGCCACTTTCAGGTCTCCTCACACTGCTGGTGTGTAGAATTTTTTGACATAGGGTGCTGGCAGATTACGGGCCTCCCATAGCTGCTGCCAGGCCCCTAATCTGCCATAGGCCCCTATATACCGCCTCCTCATGCTGCTGCCAGGTCCAGAGTCTGTCATGGGTCCCTGTACGGCCTCCCATTGCTGCTGTCTCCATCGCCACACTCTGCCATGTGCCACTTTCAGGTCTCCTCACACACTGCTGGTGTGTAGAATTTTTTGACATAGGGTGCTGGCAGATTACGGGCCTCCCATAGCTGCTGCCAGGCCCCTAATCTGCCATAGGCCCCTATATACCGCCTCCTCATGCTGCTGCCAGGTCCAGAGTCTGTCATGGGTCCCTGTACGGCCTCCCATTGCTGCTGTCTCCATCGCCACACTCTGCCATGTGCCCACTTTCAGGTCTCCTCACACACTGCTGGTGTGTAGAATTTTTTGACATAGGGTGCTGGCAGATTACGGGCCTCCCATAGCTGCTGCCAGGCCCCTAATCTGCCATGGGCCCCTATATACCGCCTCCTCATGCTGCTGCCAGGTCCAGAGTCTGTCATGGGTCCCTGTACGGCCTCCCCCATTGCTGCTGTCTCCATCGCCACACTCTGCCATGTGCCACTTTCAGGTCTCCTCACACTGCTGGTGTGTGTGAATTTTTTTTGACATAGGGTGCTGGCAGATTATGGGCCTCCCATAGCTGCTGCCAGGCCCCTAATCTGCCATAGGCCCCTATATACCGCCTCCTCATGCTGCTGCCAGGTCCAGAGTCTCTCATGGGTCCCTGTACGGCCCTCCCATTGCTGCTGTCTCCATCGCCATTGCTGCTGTCTCCACTCTGCCATGTGCCACTTTCAGGTCTCCTCACACACTGCTGGTGTGTAGAATTTTTTGACATAGGGTGCTGGCAGATTACGGGCCTCCCATAGCTGCTGCCAGGCCCCCCTAATCTGCCATAGGCCCCTATATACCGCCTCCTCATGCTGCTGCCAGGTCCAGAGTCTGTCATGGGTCCCTGTACGGCCTCCCATTGCTGCTGTCTCCATCGCCATCGCCACACTCTGCCATGTGCCACTTTCAGGTCTCCTCACACACTGCTGGTGTGTAGAATTTTTTGACATAGGGTGCTGGCAGATTACGGGCCTCCCATAGCTGCTGCCAGGCCCCTAATCTGCCATAGGCCCCTATATACCGCCTCCTCATGCTGCTGCCAGGTCCAGAGTCTGTCATGGGTCCCTGTACGGCCTCCCATTGCTGCTGTCTCCATCGCCACACTCTGCCATGTGCCACTTTCAGGTCTCCTCACACACTGCTGGTGTGTAGAATTTTTTGACATAGGGTGCTGGCAGATTACGGGCCCTCCCATAGCTGCTGCCAGGCCCCTAATCTGCCATAGGCCCCTATATACCCGCCTCCTCATGCTGCTGCCAGGTCCAGAGTCTGTCATGGGTCCCTGTACGGCCTCCCATTGCTGCTGTCTCCATCGCCACACTCTGCCATGTGCCACTTTCAGGTCTCCTCACACACTGCTGGTGTGTAGAATTTTTTGACATAGGGTGCTGGCAGATTACGGGCCTCCCATAGCTGCTGCCAGGCCCCTAATCTGCCATGGGCCCCTATACCGACTCCTCATGCTGTGACGTTGCAACAAGGTGGAATTCAACCCTACATATGTTAGACCGCCTTTACGAACAGCAAAAGGCCATCACAGATTTCCTGATGTTAAAAGCGGATAAAGGTATTCCCTGTGTAACTTAGATGTCAGCCATTGGCAGCTCATGCGTGACACCTGCGCTTGCTCAGGCCCTTTGAGGAGGCCACGCTATTCGTGAGTCGGCAGGACTATGGGATGAACGACGTCATTCCTCTGTTGCACGTCCTGGAACAAATGCTGTTAACAATGGCTGGTCAGGGTGCGGTAGACGTGGCGCACAGATCTCAACGCCACATGACCCCTGTGGGGGCAGGACAGGAAGGAGGAGGTAGAGGAGGACATTGGTGCTCAGGAATTATTGAGTGAAATGGGTGGTTTTTCCACTCAGCGGACAGGAGTGGAGGAGCAGGAGCATCTGGTAGAGGAGGAGGAGGAGGAGGAGACAGAGGACCCAGACGCACCGTGGCAGTATGCTGTGGAGATGGAGGCAGGGAGTCCCTCGCATTCCTTGGCACAAATGGCCCATAGCATGCTCGCTTGCTTGCGTAGCGACAGCCGAATAATAACCATCAGACAGAGGGATGACTTTTGGCTGTCCACCTTGTTGGACCCTCGCTACCGTTCAAAAATGGTGGCCTTTTTCACACCTGCTGAGAGGGAGGCCAAAATAACGTACTATAAAAACCACCTATGTAGTCAGTCAGCTGGTCTCTGCCTGTCTGCGCCAACGTCCATCCTCAGACACTGTGGGCCCTGTGCGCTCGCGTTCCGCTGCCATGGCAGCAGGGGAGGGGTGGGGTGGTAGGAGCAGTGGCAGCTTCCACCAGCAGCGGCTGCCTCAGTCTGCAGTCGATGATGAGTAGCTTTCTTCACCAGCGCAGTGAGGAAACTACTAACCAGCCGCAGCAGCAGCAGCAGCAGCAGCAGCAGCAGCATCAGGTGGACCTGGAGCAGGACCTCAAACAACAGGCTTAGGCCTACTTGGACAGCACCCTGCCAACCGAGGTAGACAATCCCCTTGACTACTGGGCAACGAAACTTGACCTTTGGCCCCAACTAGCTGAATTTGCCCTTGAAAGGCTGTCATGCCCGGCCAGTAGCGTGGCATCGGAGCGCGTGTTTAGTGCGGCAGGAGGTATTGCAACTCCGCGGAGGACACGACTGTCCACCCAAAGTGTGGAGAGACTGACGTTTGTGAAAATGAATCAGGCGTGGATTAGTCTGGATTTCAAACCACCAGTTCCTGACACAACTGACTAAATCCGCCATGAATCATGCCCCAAACATGTGCCACTTTCAGGTCTCCTCACACTGCTGGTGTGTTCCATTTTTTGTCATAGGGTGCTGGCAGATTACGGGCCTCCCATAGCTGCTGCCAGGCCCCTAATCTGCCATGGGCCCCTATATACCGCCTCCTCATGCTGCTGCCAAGTCCAGAGTCTCTCATGGGTCCCTGTACGGCCTCCCATTGCTGCTGTCTCCATCGCCACACTCTGCCATGTGCCACTTTCAGGTCTCACACACTGCTGGTGTGTAGAATTTTTTGACATAGGGTGCTGGCAGATTACGGGCCTCCCATAGCTGCTGCCAGGCCCCTAATCTGCCATAGGCCCCTATATACCGCCTCCTCATGCTGCTGCCAGGTCCAGAGTGTGTCATGGGTCCCTGTACGGCCTCCCATTGCTGCTGTCTCCATCGCCACACTCTGCCATGTGCCACTTTCAGGTCTCCTCACACTGCTGGTGGGTTCCATTTTTTGTCATAGGGTGCTGGCAGATTACGGGCCTCCCATAGCTGCTGCCAGGCCCCTAATGCCATGGGCCCCTGTTGTCGCTTGTTGGCATATTCCGCTCGTTCAGATGCTCCTTCTCCTGCTACTCCTCTTCACGGATTCCGTCAGCAGTCTTTCTTGGAATCCGTTTCCAAGAGACAACAGTTTGCGAGCACGCACCAGACGGTGCAGAAACTGAACGTCCTCCTGTCCAAGTTGCTGCTGCCAGGCTCGTAATCTGTCATGCGCCCCTGTACCGCCTCCTCATGCTGCTGCCAGGTCCAGAGTGTGTCATGGGCCCCCGTACCGACTCCAAATGCTGCTGCCAGGCCCGTAATCTGTCATGGGCCCCTGTACCGCCTCCCCATGCTGCTGCCACGTCCAGATTGTGTCATGGGTCCCTGTACGGCCTCCCATTGCTGCTGCCAGGCCTGTAATCTGCCATGGGCCCCCGTACCGACTCCTCATGCTGCTGCCAGGCCCGTAATCTGCCATGGGCCCCTGTACCGCCTCCTCATGCTGCTGCCAGGTCCAGAGTGTGTCATGGGTCCCTGTACGGCCTCCCATTGCTGCTGTCTCTATCGCCACACTCTGCCATGTGCCACTTTCAGGTCTCCTCACACTGCTGGTGGTTTCCATTTTTGTCATAGGGTGCTGTATGGCCTCCCATTGCTGCTGCCTCCACCGCCACACTGTGGCTCCACACTCTGGTTTTGGCCCCGTGACTGCCCAAATGAGTGAAGTGTGCGGTGATTCTAAGATCGACGGCACTCTCATCTGCATGTCATACTGCCTGACAGTATTATTTCTCTTCCCCAGCAGACTCCAAGGGCATTTAAATTAAAGGTACAGTGTTCAGCACTAATATTAAGTCTCTCTGAAGCCTAGAAACACCCTTTTTTAAGTTAAAAATTCACAGCGAATATATTCGACTCGAATCGAAATTTTTCTACGAATTCGCCGAGGATCCTTGTGATCTTCCATGCACCTAACCCACTGCGATTTTGTTGACTATATACTCACACTCATCATTGATTAGTCACGGCACAGTGACACGGATAATTAACTATATGTGTGGATTATATACTTTGCACTTTTATTATTATATGCACTATTGTGTGTTACGTGTAGTCTCAATAATTATTATTGAACACGCTGAGTCACATTATTGATTGGTTTAGTGATTGAGCACTTTATTATCAGTAATATATCTGCATATGTTTATATACATTATTTATGATATTCTTTCATTTTTAACGCTGCACCCATTACTTATATAGTTTCTTTGAGGTTGTTTGGTGCCTTTTGGTGTTCAGCGGCTATAGTGACTTTTAGCGCTCACTTACTCATTATGTGCATTTATACTCAAAGACAGCTGATTGACCATTTAAACAACAGCATCATGAACATAGCAGGCAGAATCTACCATTTGGGGCATATATGATCAACAGTGACGGATTTCCTCTATATAATCTTGGCCCTACACATACTATAAGTTGTTCTGTCCCCGTCTTTCCACTTTCAAAGTGTGCCATCCTTTAAGCATGTGATCAGTGCTCCCCTCTTCACCACCACTCAGTGAACCGCAAAATAAGTCTCCACCACCTTCTAAACCATGCACCTAACCGGACTACAGATGTCCAATCATATAAATAGATATAGGATGGCTCCTCTTACTCCCTACTAATCCAATCTCCTTGCTGCAGAGCTGTTTCTGATTCCTTTCACATGTGTGGTTTGTCTGTGCTCACCTAATAGAAAACATTGGTCACCAGTCGCTTTTTTTGGATTTTTAAAGATTTTATTTACTCATCACACATGGAGGGAGGTGTAGGGTTCCAGATACCCAGAGTAATTTACCTTCTTCTTTAGATCCATGTCAGCTCACAGTGTAAGAAGCCAACCTGGTAACAATGTAGATAGTATCTTAGCTGGTAACATTCTTCTCTCTATCTGGGCTTATTCCAAAGCTCTCTGCACTTAATCATAGGCTTCCATGAATACCCTCCAAGAGAGTCACCAGGCCCTTGTGAAAAAAACAGCCTTTATCCTGGCATCCTCCAGTATGGTCCCCCTCCTGGTTGTCATCTTGACACAGCTTCCCCAATTGACAGGCAGGACAGCTTCCAGGGCCACTTCAAGGCTAACTTCCACTGCAGAGCACATGGTAGGCCCCACATAGGCTATGGGCCTAATAGATTAGGTAACTCTAGCAGCACCTCCTCAGGCCGAAGCCTGGGGGAAGAAAGAAAGACATCACAAGGTCTGCCCAAAATAGTTATACTTTTCCCCAGCATGCACCACTGGCAATTGGCCTCTTACTGGTTGGATATAGGGACTATAAATATTCATAACTGAGCTTCCCTGTGGCATCTTTTACTGCTGCCAGAGGTACCAGTGACACCTACTGGATTTTCCACCATGATGAAACAGACTACTGTTAAGACAGAAAGGTACATCAATAAAAAACCCACAGAGGTTCCAATTTTTCCCTTTATTACTAAATATTACTAAATAGGTTGTTTAACCTACTTAGGTCTATTCAGTAAACAAAAAGTTTTGGCAAACGTTTTGTTTTACATGCATACAAATGGAGTGCATGATCAAAATAATTCCAACATAGACATGAAATGTAATCTTGTATGCAAAGAAAGCAGTCCCAGCAATTACCAAGACCTTGATTAGTTGGGCTGAAAAAATCAGATTGTTGTTTGGATGTTGTACTTGAGTCTTGTAAATATGTACTAGATAGTGAATAGGTATCTCAGGTATAAACCGATTGTCCAAGACCCTGATACTTACCGAGCAAAACTGGTCAGAAACATAAAGTGATTATCAGGCATGGTGAATACATAGGTCACCACTGTTGATAAGGCAATGGGCCTTCTTCTACTCTGAATCTGTATTCTATTTTAAACTTAATAAAGTAAAAATCTTTCCTTAGAACAGCCACCACAAAAATGCCTTGAATTAGGAAGTAAACTCTCTAATATAAATGATATGTGAACCCTCACCTTGGTAAACAACCCATTCAGTTTACAATAAAATGAAAGGCAAAATATTTATACCTGTACATATACACTATATTGCCAAAAGTATTGGGATGCCTGCCTTTACACGTACATGAACTTTAATGGGATCCCAGTCTTAGTCCGTAGGGTTCAATATTGAGTTGGCCCACCCTTTGCAGCTATAACAGCTTCAACTCTTCTGGGAATGCTGTCCACAAGGTTTAGGAGTATGTCTATATGAATTTATGACCATTCTTCCAGAAGAGCATTTGTGAGGTCAGGCACTGAAGGCCTGGCTTGCAGTCTCCTCTCTAATTCATCCCAAAGGTGTTCTATCGGGTTGAGGTCAGGACTCTGTGCAGGCCAGTGAAGTTCCTCCACCCCAAACTCGCTCATCTATGTCTTTATGGACCTTGCTTTGTGCACTGGTGCGCAGTCATGTTGGAACAGGAAGGGGCCATCATCAAACTCTTCCCACAAAGTTGGGAGCATGAAATTATCCAAAATGTCTTGGTATGCTAATGCCTTAAGAGTTCCCTTCAGTGGAACTAAGGGCCAAGCTCATCCCCTGAAAAACAACACAACACCATAATCCCCCCTCCACCAAACGTTACAATTGGCACAATGCAGTTAAGCAAGTACCATTCTCCTGGCAACCACCAAACCCAGACACATCCATCGGTTTGCCAGACAGAGACACATGATTCGTCACTCCAGAGAACACGTCTTAGCTACTCTAGAGTCCAGTGGCGGCGTGCTTTACACCACTGCATTCAATGCTTTGCATTGCACTTGGTGATGTAAGGTTTGGATGCAGCTGCTCGGCCATGGAAACCTATTACATGAAGCTTTCTACACACTGGTGTGCTAATCTGAAGGCCACATGAAGTTTGGAGGTCTTTAGCTATTGACTCTGAAGACAGTTGGTGACTTCTGCGCACTGTGCAGTTCAGCATGATCTGACCCCGCTCTGTCATTTTATGTGGCCTACCACTTCGTGGCTGAGTTGCTGTTGTTCCCAGTTGCTTCCACTTTGGTATAATACCACTAATAGCTGACTGTAGAATATTTAGTAGGAAGGAAATTTTCATGGATAGACTTATTGCAACCTATCACGGTACTGTGCTTGAATTCACTGAGCTTCTGAGAGTGACCCATTCTTTCACGAATGTTTGTGGAAGCAGTCTGCATGCCTAGGTGCTTGATTTTATACACCTATGGCCAAGGAGGTGATTGGAACATCTGAATCCAATGATTATTTATATATATACATTATATATATATAGAACAGGATACTTTTTCATACAAGTACCTGGTATAGCAGGCACATATCAGGAATATGAAATGTTGGGGTAATGGATAAGTACCAACCCTTTGTCTACTAAGAGTGCCACTACTGGCCACTGAGTTATTTGCACAGAAGCCAAAATGCGCATTTCTTCACATGATCCAAACAGTCATATACAACGTATATTTATTATGGTGAGCAAGGGCGGACTGACAACTCATGGGGCCCCTGGGCAATAGGGGATCATGGGGTCCCTGTGTCCTCACCCACACTCAAAAAAGCCTATGAAAAAGCCAATGAAAGGTACCAGGGGCATCTCATGGGGCCCCCTACTGACCCCGGGCCCTCGGGCAGTGCCCAAGTGCTCAAATGGTCAGTCCGCCCCTGATGGTGAGGTTTATAACACTCTAACCTGAAAATGGAATATTACTTATAAAAGAATTGTTACAGATTCAGTGATTCTTGGGACTAGGATGGC